TCGAAATGAAAGAAATGTAAAGGTCCAAATATTTCAGATTACCTTCTCAACCAGACCGTCCTTATGATTTCAGCACTATCTGATAAGAGAAGAAACACATGGTTTTGTAAAGAGCTGGGAAGCTTACAAGGCAGTGTTCGGTCTGAGTCTGCTCTAAGGTGGCACCGAAACCAGAATCCAAGTCACCCTGCCAGACCTGCGAGTTCCCAAACACCACGCAGAGCCCCTCCAGGCGCCAAGGCACATGGGCCCTACGTCCAGCTCTGGCTCTCAAGCTGATTCCAGAGCACAAGGCCTCGCTTTCCCAAAGACAAGGGGAGAGGAAGGTAGCTAAGCAAGTCCATCTTTTCAAGACTTCTTGGGTCGGTCACCAGTCTAGTGTTATCAACAGCCCCACAGCAGACAGAGCCTGGCCCAAGGGGCCCCCTCCCCTCACCTCTCAGACCTGCCCCAGCTCCCACCTCACCAGCCTCTCACCCTTCTGGTCCTAAAAGTGGGTGCTGATAAAACAAGCAAGACGTGGGGAAGAGAGAGCCCTGGGTTCTGCAAACTTCGCTGAAAAATAAAAAAGTGGCTGGAGACCTCATTTGCTTGCGAGAATCAATCGGCGGCAGCCCTCACCCTAGAGAGTGTCTGTGCCTTTTACTACCTGTTCAATGCCGTCATTTTCCTATAAATGAGATATGGAGAAAATGAGAACCAGGCCACTGCACAGCGACTTCCTGCTGCTTTGTTGTGAACAGGGATGGCCCCCGTGGAACCACATAAGCTGCCACTGCCTCCCAGAGTCACTGTTAGCCACGTGTGTCTCCACACCCTACTCACCCGTTAGGATGGATTCTAAGAACCACCCACAGAAAATCTCGCTCAGCCGGACGTTAGACCCCGGCCCGCCCCTTAAACACATGGAGAGGGTCCTTCCCAATCGGCGCGGGTGTCTGTAAGGAAGGATGAGGCTGGGCCACACACAGGACACAAGTGGGGGTGAGGGTGGGGGGAGGACACTCAAGGCGCACTCATTGCAGGCAAGAATTCACAGACATATGCAGACAGAAGACTGCTTCCTCTCCTCCGAGACCAGCTATGGCTTAACCCCAAGTCTGAATTAAAGAAACCTTCAAGAAGGTAGATGAAGCTGCCTGCTTTAAAAAGGCAGGAATGCCCTGGCTGGTGTGGCTCAATTGGTTGGAGTGATGTGCCGTACACTGAAGGTTGGGTGGGTTCAATTCCCGGTCAGGGCACACACCAGGTTGCGGGTTCTATCCCCGGTTGGGGTGTGTATGGATGTTTCTCTCACATCGATGTTTCTCTCTCACCTCCCCCTCTCTAAAAGCAATGGAAAACATATCCTCAGGTAAGAAATGAAACAAGAAAAGAGTAGGAATGTTTCAACTGAGTCACAAAGCTCTCATCAGAAGCCTTCCAGCACAGGGTGGAGGTCAGATACACTCCATAGCCACCCAGGGGCTTAAGCGTTCCTACCAGGGGACAGTAATGGTACCCAAAGGGCCATGAGTGTTGTCCACCTCCCCAAGCCAAGCCCTCAGAGCCATGCCGGGCCCTCACTGGCTTCCCTGTGGCCAGGCTGGGCTCTGCTGATGCCGGCCCTTCAGTTCAGGTTGCCAAGGAAGACATGGATAAATATTGGGACTGGGCAGGCTACTACATTCTTGCCTTTCTCTAGGCAGAGGTAATCTCTCAAATATATTTTTATTGATTTCAGAGAGAAAGGGAGAGGGAGAGAGAGATAGAAACATCAACGATGAGAGAGAATCATTGACTGGCTGCCTTCTGCACAGCCCCTACACTGGGGACTGAGCCCGAAACCCAGGCACGTACCCTGACCGGGAATCGAACCCGAGGCCTCCTAGTTCATAGGCTGATGCTCAACCACTGAGCCATGCATGCCGGGTTCTTATGAGATTTTAACCTATAAATGCCTTGGTCCTTCCCCAGCTTTATATGGGGCCAAGTGCCTTTGCGCTTTCATGATTGCAATCTCTGTATGAAAGGGAGAAGGTATTTCCTTTCAGGCCTTCATTCAGTATAAAGGGAAGGTAAAGGAGAATCAGAGAGAAAAAATACCACATCCACCAAATCCGAGCCAAGGTAAACTTTCTCTGAAGACGTCAGTGTTTGCATCCATCTAAAACCACCAAATGCTTGAGGGTTTCAACCATACAGTTGCTAGGAACAAATTCAAATGCACAAAGCAACTGCAGCTCTCTTCAGGTTTGGCACAGACCATGAAAGCCATTATCATCCCACCAGAAAATTGAGAAACACTAAGATTGCCTCAGTCTGAAAATACCCCAAAACAAACTGACAGTGACCCACATTGGAACTATTAAATGCAAAAACACGCTTCCTTTAACTTGCCAAAAAAAGAAGTGCCACAGGCCCCCCGAAATCTAGATGGTCTTGTTTGGGCAGAGGCAACGTAAGAAGAACGCGGGTGTCTTTACATTCACCTGGACAAGCACATGCCCTTCACACCTTCTCACCGCCACACTGCCTCAGGTGACGAGATGGATGGCGGTGCATCACACCAGCTAGAGAGCTCATTAAATAGAAAGACATATATTTACAAACTCCGTGGGAGCGCCTCATGGCACAAAGGATATTAAATAGTTACAGGGACATAAATTATTCCGAAGATTCTAGCACTGAGATGCACACTAACTCCTAAGTCGCTCGGTGTCATCACTCTTCCTCATCGTCAGCCGTCACAGTGTCCGTGGCTGCAGATCGGTTTCTCGCAGCCGACAGCACAGCCCAGGAGGCCAGGAGGCTCCTTACCCCGGACGGTAAACTGGTCCCATGCAAGTGACTTGGGAAAACTTGGGCAGCAATCCTGCCTGAATGGTATTCTTTTCTTCAATCTCACTTCAAAGGCGGCTTTTTATTGAGGCCAAGTAACATGATTCCCAGCAGGAGATTTCTGATAAAGTACAGGGTGGTCCTTCCAAGTGGGCCCCATTTAATGCCAGGCCGAGTCTTTGTGACCCCCTTTTTAAATGGAACTCGCAGAGTGAGATAAGCCCAATTTTGATTAGGCATACACACTCAAAAATGCAAAATAAATACATAAAATGAACAGATAAAATCCAGATGTTAGAATCTCCTCAAAAAATCACTATATAGAATAGGTTCAAAGTTTGTGAAGCGTGACCTGTACTGCCCCAGGACAGCCACGGAGAGAGGGCTCCATCAGACCCTCTGGGCAGCACACCCCGCTGTGACCAGGCCTGGCTGCCCTCTGGGGAAGCAGAGGGAGGTGAGTTACCCCCAGACCAGCTGGGTCTGCACCCGCAGCCATGGCCCCTGAAGCAGACAAGGGGCTTGCACATGTGACCTGGGCCGGTGCCCATGGCAGGAACTGCAGCAGAACTCAGACTGTACCGAGTGTTCAGTTCAGGGAGCTAACCCCTAACCCCGCCCCCTCAGAGACAGCACAGTACCATTTCCTAGGCATCCCCAGCCACCCGATCAATCCCCCAACGCTGCTCTTTATGACGAATGCAATGCCACACACCACAACGCTTTCCCACGCACGCTCTCCTCCCGCCACCCCCAAAGACATACCCCTGTTCTCTCTCTCATCACACAGAACGCTGCCAAGGCTGGGATCGCTCGCTAGCACAAGCTCCTGGGGGTTCTCCGAGTTACTGCGAGATCTTCCCACTTTCCCACCAGCAGTAACTGTTTTTTCCTTGGTGAGAGCTAATCACAAAACATTAGAGCTAGAGTGAGGTTTGTAAACATTAAAAACAGCTCAGAGTGAAAACCTGACAAAACAATTTTCCCATAAAAGATACAATTAATCTCCAACAGGAAGAAAAAGACAACTACACTACAGCATCATAGGGGCTCATTTAACTCCTTCACCACAATAATCTTCACTTTATCAAGAATCAGTTCAAAAATCTGACAGACCTAGATTTCTTCCCAACAACCTCCAAGATGGATGTTCATAGTTAGGACCCTGAAAAGCTTCAATTCGTTCGTGCTTCTCAAATATCAATGGAAGGATGTCATGGTGCAAATTCAAGTATTTTCGAATCCTAGACAAGTCTACACAGAATCACTGTAGAACTCTTCTCAGGTCATTGAAGTGAGCACGTATCTAAAACAGAGGGGTGTGTCCCCACCTGCGGTCCAAACGGGCAAGTGTCTGGCTGGCGGGATGGACTGTGTTTCTTTCCTGAATTTTACCTGCGGAGGTAAAATGATAGGAAATCTGCAACGCAGCCTCAAAGCATTAAGGGTAGTCAGGAGAGCGAAAAACAAGATGGTCCCCATATTCCTGGAGGAGAATCTGGGATTCAGGGAGGTGATTCATTTGAGCAAGAATTGAGTGTTTTCTCAGCAGGTGGGAAGTGCATGTCAACAGTCCTGTGAGCTGTCCCAAGGGGACACCAGCTTTGCCCATCCCCAGAAAGTCCAGCCCCAGCCCAGAGCTCCACCAGCACACCCATCACTGCAACCCTCAGTGCCACACGTGGCTGCCGGGCCTTGCTGGCTGTCTCAACGCCCGGGGCATGGAAGACAGGCAGTAGGGGGGATCCTGGCAGCAAGACTAACGCTGATGGAGCGCACTATGGGGACTGCCCAGGAATCACTGCTGACGGACTGTTCCAACCTTGTACCTTCCTTCCTTGACTTCCCCCCTCGTGGCGGCCCCCATTTAATCCAAAGTCTTGACTTGTCACAAATGCATATGACAGGGTGGCTCAGTCAGATGGGGAGGAAGCCTGTGCTCAGGGCCGGTGAAGACCTAAAGTGGACATGGCAGCCAGGGAGGCCGGCTGCTCCCACGGCCACCAAACGCTGGAGAACCCGTAGGTCTCTCCCACCACTTCTGTCTACACAGCAGGGTGCAGGGGCTCTCGGCCTCACATACCTGCTAACAGGGCCACTCTGGGGGGGCGGGGGACCTTTCCCAAAATGAACTTTACCAAAGAGGACAAAATTCAGCTTAAACACATGAGAATCTGTCGTGACGAGGGAAAGAAAACTTGATTGAAAGGACGGGCACGAGGATGAGGGAGGACCCTGCTGGGCCCTCATGTGTCCAGGCGCTGGATCTCGGGGCGCCCATCCACGTCCCGGGACTCGGTGCGGGCTCGGATGTAGTCATTGGCGCTCTGCTGGTGGATGCTGACTCTCCATTTCTGCACGGCCAGGAATGTGTTCACCGCATACACCGCTGTTGCCAAGAAGCCAAATATCTACGAGAAACAGGCATGGAGAGTCCTCAGACACATCAGCAGTCTATGAGGTGTCTGGGCAGGACCCTGAGCGGCTTACAGCTATGCCCCCAACACCTGGCCCCGCTGAATGTTTAGCTGTCAGACCGTGGCCAAATCTATAGTCATGTGACCCACAGAAGTCCTCCCTGACCTGAAGACAGCCTAAGGTTTCACACAAAGTATTTTGGATCTTTTTTATTACAAAAATGCCTTTTGCCCAGCCGGTGTGGCTCAGTGGTTGAGCATCAACCTATGAACCAGGAGGTCATGGTTCGATTCCCAGTTAGGGTGCATGCCTGGGTTGCAGGCTCCATCCCCAGTAGAGGGTATGTAGGAGGTAGCTGACCGGATGATTCTCTCTCATCATTAATGTTTCTATCTCTCCCTCTCCCTTCCTCTCTCTGAAACCAATAAAAACATATTTAAAATCAATTAAAAAAATTTTAATGACTCTTTTACAGCACCTTCATGGTCACTGGTCCCAGATGAGAAAATACATGTAGACAAAATTCCATGCACACAAAAAATCAGGGGCTCAAATATAGTAACAACTCAAGCCATAAGGCCTGACATTCCAAAGCACAGCCCTCGAACCCCCACCTGCTCTCCAGCTGCCTGTCACCTGGGCAGCTCCAGGGTGAGAAGCAGCAGGTTTGGCTTAGTAATAACAACTGATGAATCTACTGAGTGACACCTGGGAGAGCAGCGCACTTAATATTTTTCAGGAACCTTTTAATCCCCCCCATTACAAAAAACGCTACATATTCTCTGGAAATACAGAACAATACAGAAATGCAGAGCACAGAGACAGTTTGGTTCCCACCCCATCCCCCAGGGCACTCTACCCTGAAGAGCAAAAATGTCATCTGACTACTAAGACCGCCACACCGGCCAGTAAGGCTTGAAAAAGCAACACCACTAACAGGCAGACATCCAGGGTCCCGGTGGAAAGACTAGAGCAGTGGCTCTCAAACCTGAGTGTGCCCCTGAATCAGCTGGAGGCAGGTTAAAACACATTTCTGATTCAGCAGCTCTGGGGGAGCCTGAGAATGGCATTTCTAACAAGTTTCTGGGTGATGCTGAGGCTGCTGTTCCGCGAACCACACTTTGAGAACCATAGCACTGAAGGGACTGGGACCTCCATTGGCCCAATAACAATTTCATTAGCAAAGAAAAAGCTAAAGGACAATGAGTAGGACACATATTAGGGGACAGAGGAGAGCAAGTCACAAGAAGTACACAAATCAGCCCGTGTTTTAACCACCTGGGTTCACCTACCACGGCAGCAATTTCTGCTCCGGCTTTGTGGTTTAAAGCAGCCAGTACAATGGAAGCAATAAAGAAAAAGAAAGTGCTGAGTCCAGTGTTGACCAAATCCTAAAGAAAAAGATAAATAAAATCACTTGAAAAGAAGCATCTCATGCTTTGCCCTGAAAGCCATTGAAGAACTTTCAAAACAAGCACAACACCCAGCCTCTGTGCTGGCTCCATAGTTTCGCCTCAATGGCCCGGGGGTGTTGGTTGTACAAAGGAAGGCAAACACCGTAACAGTGTCTGATGCTACTGGATAAACCTCCACAGCAAAACCCACGTCACCATTTCTCAATGACTTATTACAGAAACCCAACCTGCTAACCTATCGAGGACATGCACACTAATGACCACTTAGAGTTCTATTGTTGTCTTTTAAAAACTCATTCAAATCATCCTGGCATGTGGAAGCTTTTCTGAAGACATGTTTTCATTTCTCTTGCGTGATCACATGGTTTTATTTATTCTATTTTAATATCTGTATCATCCAGTTTTTCTATAACAACCACTTATCACTTGCACAGTTTAAAAAGCTTAAAACCGGAGTACTGCTGCTTGAGCTCCTTGGCCACGAAATAAAACCAAGGCTCTTACTGTGTGTTGTTCCACTTATGCTAGGGGCACATCCAGGCATGCCCTCAGATGTGGATTAGGGGGTGGGGAGGGGGGATATTAGTAAACATTGGTACTAAATTTTTAAAAAATGCTTTTAATGGGCCCTGGCTGGTTTGGCTTAGTGGATAGAGCATCCGCCTGAGGACTGAAGGGTCCCAGGTTCGATTCCGGTCAAGGGCACATGCCCAGGTTGCAAGCTTGATCCCTAGTAGGGGCCATGCAGGAGGCAGCCAGTCAATGATTCACTCTCATCACTGATGTTTCTTGCTCTCTCTCTTTCTCCCTTCCTCTCTGAAATCAATAAAGATATATATTAAATAATAACAATAATAAAATAAAATACTTTCAATGGGCTGTGTACTCTATAAGATGCATGTTTTCCAGTTTGCCACAGCTGTCCCCACTCCCTGCAGTCTCATAACCAGCCACTCCATGTTTCCTGTTTGGCCCCTGAAACACCACGGCTGCAGCCCTCCTATGCTAACAGAAGCAAAGGAAGGTCACCCTCACATACACATGTTTTCGAGTCCCTCCTCCAGTAACACACTAGTAAGTACAGGTGTGAGCCCAAGTAACTCCAATAACAGATCAAGGGGATCTGGTCTAGAGGGTGCTAACTCCAGGCCTATTGGCTATATCTGGCCCACAAATAGGTTTGATTTGTACAGTGTTCAAAACAAATTTGAACAAGCTAATATTTATAACATCAGAGGCCTACACAATAAAAACTAACATCTAAAACAAAACAACAATTATAAAACCCACAGAGCTTGCCCTTTTGCGGGGAGGTTTACGAGGCTCTCTCTGCTATCTGTTTACTACGCTATCAATTTAGATCACAACTCTGTAAGCATTTTCCTGTGGATAACACAAACTTTATCTTAAAAATAGTTGAGAGCCGAAACCGGTTTGGCTCAGTGGATAGAGCGTCGGCCTGCGGACTGAAAGGTCCCAGGTTCGATTCCGGTCAGGGGCATGTACCTGGGTTGCGGGCACATCCCCAGTGGGAGATGTGCGGGAGGCAGCTGATCGATGTTTCTCTCTCATCGATGTTTCTAACTCTCTATCTCTCTCCCTTCCTCTCTGTAAAAAATCAATAAAATATATTTTAAAAAAATAGTTGAGACATTAAAACCTGTCATACAAACTCAGACAAAATGCCTCCACTATCTTGAGGTTTTAGAGTTTAAATTTATTTTTTATTTTATTTTTTTTTTTAAATATATTTTATTGATTTTTTACAGAGAGGAAGGGAGAGAGATAGAGAGCCAGAAACATCGATGAGAGAGAAACATCGATCAGCTGCCTCCCGCACATCTCCCACTGGGGATGTGCCCGCAACCCAGGTACATGCCCTTGACCGGAATCGAACCTGGGACCCTTCAGTCTGCAGGCCGACGCTCGATCCACCGAGCCAAACCGGTTTCGGCATAGAGTTTAAATTTAAATCACATTTTTCTCAGTGTCCAATGCTGAGGCAAAACCGAGTCTTCAACTGACATCAACTTTCCTGGTTCAGCTCTGCTCTTATTTTTCCTCCTACAAGAGTCTGAGCAACACAGAGAGCCTCCTGTCGGAAGACCCTCTCCTCTGGGCACCCCACAGGATCACCTGGGAGTGGCCCTGCGAGGCAAGGTGACCAGCTCCGGCCTCCTCCCCAGCTCCCTCACAGGGGCCACACTTCCATGGTGCTGCACCAGCCAAGAGAGAGGCGCTCTCCTGAGGCAGCTGGTCTCAGCGCCCTCCCCTCCTCTGCTGCCCTCTTAGAAGCTGTGGGCCCACGGGGTCTTCCTCCCACAGGCCCAGAGGCTAAGGCAGCTGACTGCTTTCCTGTGTTTCCCTGAACGATTCCCTCTGAGCTCCCGCACATGCTCACTTGCAGAGAAATACCAAGAAAACCAAGTGCTATTAAGTTCCCCTCGTTCAGCACAGTAAAGACAAGTAGCACACGTCCAGGAAAAGGGGCCTGGGAGTGACCAGCCAGGAGCTTCCCATGCTGACTGGAGGGCAAGGCTGTCAAACAGGGTTAGGAACCCAAACCACAGGGAAAAGAAGACACATTTCCAGTCAAGACTGATCAAACACTAACCCTTCCTTCCAGTCCTCCCAGTTGCTTTGAATTTGATAATATCCTTAGGCTTTGCAAGTTATTGCCATTTCATTCATAGTCAATTCTTCCCGAATCAATTCTTTTATAAATGGCTTTTGGGTCCGGTATAAAATATATGCAAAAATGCATTAATTCTATTTTCTCTTTCCCATATTCTGTACACATATCAACATCACTAATCTCAAAAGATCATAAAATTGAAATGATATCTTCAAAGAGGTCAAAACAATTGTTATGATGTTTCTGCCATTAGTGAAGATTCCATTTAAGTTGTAGTTTTATTCAACTCAGGAAAGAAATGTAACATTTCACAGCTGAATGACAGTGGAATATTTCAGTACCGCAATGAACTGGAACCAAACACGACATGGAGCGGTTCCCACTCTCCCTGGAGCCAAGCAGCAGCCGATCCTTTCACAGTCGGAGGGCGGTGACTGTACTCACCGTCAGGTTCCAGTTGATCTGGGGGATCCTCATGTGAAGGTTGAGACTGAACAGAATCAGCAAGACTCCGGTCACCACAAACGCACTGCAGCTCACAAACTCAAAAAAGTAGAGGCCTTCACACGGGGAGCATTCCATGATGGTCTCTATGCAGATGAACGCAATCAGGGCCAAGATCTAGGAAGAAAATTGGAAACATATCATGTGTCTGTAGGTTTAGTACACATCCAGGGACACAGGTGCCTGCCACATTTAAATAAAACCCACCACCACCACCATATGCAGCCACAGAGGTTCCCTCTGGGGACGGCAGTTATCACTGTCAGGAGTACGACCTGGTTCAATTCTTACATGAGGATGTGAAGGTATAGAGCCGTTATCAAATTCCTCGTGTGGACAGCTAAGCCCCACCACAGTACACTGAATCCAGTCTGTTACGGTGTAGCCCTTGCGAAGAAGCAGAAAGGAATGTCTCTGTGATTTTTTTTTTACTAGTAGTTCTATCTCTGCCATGAGTAAGTGGACACTGTCTACACACGTTTCTAATTTATAGTCTCTACTCTAAAAAGGAGGTCCATTTAGTTAATTCATGAGCTATGGTTTTTAAAAGTTTATCATTGGACTGGATCACAAAAAGATAGACTGGCAGTTGATAAAAATCATTGTTAAATATACCAATAATAGAATCAATTTCTTTCTGAAGGATCAAAGTTACATTTTAGCAATATGTCCCAAGAGATTGGAGACCATCATAAAGTCAAATAGATATCACTGGAAATTACCAGTGAACTTTGAAAGGAAGAATTCAGGAAAAGGAGGAAGCCCACACAAAGGCTGAGTTAATGGCCCTGTGATCAAAGAAAGGCATGGAGTTCTCACACCTAAAACCAGATCGGAATGAGCTCCTGGCCTCTACTTCACCTCTTTAACCAAGCACTTCACAACCTACCTTATGTCAAGCCTACACCAGTTTCCAGTCTAGACCTCACCTCAAAGGTCAAGGATGTACAGGGAGGCAGCTCGGTGGTTCCAGATCTGTCCTTCGAGCCAGAGACATCAGCCTCACCAGGGAGCTTGTTAGAAATGCAAAACCTCTACTTCCCCCTTCCTTGACCAAAAGAGTCAAAATCTGCATTTTCTACAAGATCCTCAGATGATTCAAGCATGGGAAGCACATGCTGCTCTGGGGCCCTTCTCCACCTGCTGTAGACCCACTCATACCTTTCAATGCTCTACTCAATGCCACCTCCTCCCCGTGCCTTCCCTGACTGTGTCTCTCATTGCCAGACAATATCTGATTCCACCCTCTCTCGGGAAAGCTTGCTCCTCTGTGATTGAATTCTACCTTTCTTATGCTTACCACTAGAGGCCCAGTGCATGAAATTCGTGCACATGGGGGGGGAGGGTGTCTCTCTCAGCACAGCCTGCGCCCTCTCGCAGTCTGGGAGCCCTTGGGGGATGTCTGACTGACAGCTTAGGGAGAAGGCCTAAGCCGGCAGTCAGATATCCTTAGCACTGCCAGAGGCAGGAGAGGTTCCCGCCACTGCCACTGCACTCACCAGCCGTGAGCCCGGCCTCTGGTTGAGCAGAGCTCCCCTTGTGGGAGTGCACTGACCACCTGGGGACAGCTCCTGTGTTGAGCATCTGCCCTCTAGTGGTCAGTGTGCATCATAGCGACTGGTCATTTTGCCGTTTAGTCGATTTGCATATTAGCCTTTTATTATATAGGATTATGCCTCCTGAGCTTTTTAAGGATACAGCCTGTCGATCTCTCTCTACTCCCAAGATACTAAGCAAAATAATTTGCACACAGCCAACAAATGGGGGCTCATGGAGCCACTAAAAACCCATAAAACAATTCCTGGAGTACTTGTTAGCATCCCTACAGAAAAGGAAGGGTAGCTCTGCTTTTTCCACTGCCAATACTTTCACAGAAAAAGACATCTTTTTCTAACAATATGTGGTATTTTCACATTTCTATTATAATCAGCACATTAAAGATATGGGTGTTTAAGCACACACTTTGTGCTTTTCCTAATGGTTCCTTATTATCTACAGAACCATAGACTTTAATTCTCCACCTGAATTACATGCCTGACTTGCAGGCAATTTACAAAGAAATAGTTCATATAAGGAAAACTCCTAAACTTTTTTTACCCCTGTAATTGGATCTAGCAATCTTGGGCAAGAAATAACACACTATACTGATGAGTTACAAATGTTTCTGGTATGCTAACTTCAACCATATTTGTGTGGGAAGGTAACACCTACATTCTTAAATATTAAAATAAAAATGGTTTCAAGAATATGCAAATCTAACAGTCCATTCAATATAGCAGTGAACAAAACATAGAATTCCCTGCTCCTTAGCTCATATTCTAAAGGAGAGGTTTTTAAAAATTAAGCCCTGGCTCAGTTGGCTGAGCATCATCCCATGCACCAGGAGGTTGCTGGTTTGATTCTGGTCAGGGCACATGCCCGGATTGCGGACTAACACCCCAGTAGGGGGCTGCAGGAGGCAGCCAATCAATGTTTCTTTCTCTCTTTCTCTCTCCTCTCTCTCTCTCTCTCTCTCTCTCTCTCTCTCTCTCTCTCTCTCTCCCCCTTTCTCTCTCTCTCGCTCCCTCTCTCTTCCTCTCTCTCTCTAAAAAAATCAATTAAAAAGCATATAAAAAATAGCTGACAAATAAATTGATATTAAAAAGCTGTCAGATTTCCACAATTGCAGCTAAGTATGATTGGCAGCATCAAAAAGTAGGAAGGGAGGGGTGGGGGTTGGCTGATTAAGTTACTATAAAACATTTAAAAATTTTCTAATACATAGTGGCAGGCACACAGTGGGGTTGGAGATTTGAGCTATGAGATTTTCCCAAGACAGATTTATCCGCGAGATGATGAATGAAGCTGCAGAACTTCTGAACTCAGCACTCACCACTCAACTTCTTGACTATCTCCACTCCTTTTGCCAGGTGGTGATGGAACAGAATAAGCATTTTGGGGATTCAGCAAATTAAAAGTTGAGTGAGGGATACGTTAAATTGGGGTTTCGCTTTCACTTTCATGTATATGGTTACTACAGCTTTCCCACTGTCAGAATGGCTTCCAGATATGCTTTGATCTGACATCATAATGAAGAAACAGGCCCTAAAATTCACAGGATAAGTGGGTCCTACAATGCCACAGAAGTATGTCGGTGGTGAAGGAGAAACAGGGTTTGGAACATATGGAGCCAGAAGCTAATCTGTGGAGAATTCTTCAGATCATCAAATGCGAGATACTATAAGTGGACAATTGTGGTTTCATCGGTATCTAAATGGAAGTTGTGCCCTATCAGGAATATATTCAATAATGCAGTAATACAGTTATAAACACACTCAACATTGTCTCCCTTTTTGTTGGGAATCACATAAAATAAAGTTTATTAGAATTCCAGGGTCTGTAGGGCAGAAACCTGTGGCAATACTACAAAGAGCGAGTACATACGTGTAGGAGATTACAGTTCATGCCTCCCAATGTGTCAGTTCACATCCTGACATACCTGACAAATCTTGAACTGACAAGGTCCGACAATCCCAAAGCAAATGGCGTTAAAATTCTCCAACGCATTGAAACAGCCTGAAGAAACGAATGTTCCAGCAACGACCTCCTACACATATTCATCAGAACGTCGATGTACGTAGTATAAGAGCATATTGATCATAAAATGATGATGCGTGATACAATGCAGTGGTATTGTATCTGAATTGTTCAGACATACATCTACTAGTACATTTCAGATTAACTTTGTATACTTTTCAGAATTAAGTGACCATACTAAAGTCCAAAAATGATCCATCTTAGTGGAGGCAAAAACAGAAGGGAACACTTTTTAAATTTGTAACTTAATGTGTTTCTCATTCTAAATATGCACTATTGTACCTAGCTTTATATCTTTAATTTTGTATCTTCATCCTTAAAGTGGGCCTCCAAATCATCTGTGTCTCAAGCCCCTCTAAACCTGATCTACTTCCGAGTTTAGGCAACGAAAGGTGAGTGGATGAGACATCTGTTACTTCTGGCAGCAGCCTTTAGGAACCATGAACAGTTTCAACACACACACACACACACACACACACACACACACACACACACACACACACACCGCCCCAGCAGCCAGCAATGTTCCAGGCGGGGGTGGGTGGCTCTGTGTGAGGCTGATGGGCAGCCTGCTTACCACAACCTGGGAGACTGTGTAACATGAGTAAAAGGAAACGTCCCTTGTGTTCAACCTTGAGATTTCAAGTTTGTTACTAAGCATAATCCAGTTCATGTGACTAGAAAGGCATAATGTTAATTTGCACATGCCCTGATATCTAATACAAAACTACAAATTTACAGGATGAATATGTTACCATCCCCCTCACTCTTAAAGACACCGGATTGAAATGGTTTTACAGACAAACTCTTACCAGATTGTCAGGGTAAAGACATTGACTATGTTACTTAAACTCTTTTAAAACAAACAAACAAAACAATTGGAATTTCAATATACATCTATGTGGTTAGGATTGTAAATAGACTTTTTAAAAATACAGGCCTCGCCCTAACCGGTTTGGCTCAGTGGGTAGAGCGTTGGCCTGCGGACTGAAGGGTCCCAGGTTCGATTCCGGTCATGGGCATGTGCCTTGGTTGTGGGCACATCCCCAGTAGGGGGCGTGCAGGAGGCAACCTATCGATGTTTCTCTCTCATAGATGTTTCTAACTCTCTATCCCTCTCCCTTCCTCTCTGTAAAAAAAAAAAAAATCAATAAAATATATTTTTAAAAAAATGCAGGCCTCTTTAATTTTTCAAAATTTCTACAATAAATGTGTATTTTTATTTTAAAAGTTAAATATCACATGTATAAACACTTTTGAAACATCCAGGTTTATTATGAATTAAATGTTAGTGCACTCTAAGAATCAATTCTTATTTGCTTTGAAACCATTAAAGAATATTTTTAAATGACAAAAACTTTAATGGAAAATGAAAGTCACCCTGCAAGTCCATGTAGGTCCCTTTATCAGAAGAATTCATCATCCCTAAAGCCTCCCTGATAGCGCACAATCCTATTTCCTGGCCGCCACTACACTGGAAGGGCAGGAAATGGGCACAGAACAGCCTCAAGGCGGGCACATGATAAAAAAGCCATGCTTACTCTCACTAATGTAATGGGAAGGACCATAGCCCATGTCCCTAATACCCATGAAGACCTCTTCGAAGGTTAGACAAAATCCTAACTATATCCCTGGCCTTGGGGCACATCAGCAAATGAACAGTTCGAAAAAGCCTCACAGTACATAACCTGTTTGCCTTTATTGGATGTGTAGATTATGTTACTGAACATAGAAATTTTTCTTTTCCCTCAGCACACCTGTTAACACCACAACACGGTGTTGGGGGGAAAAACAGTTTGGGAAACAAAAAAAGCCATGTGCCGGTCAGTACTGTCAGGACTCAGGTCATGCACAATTAAATGCACAGAGTGAAAAACAGAAGCTCATTTACCCAGCAGGGTAGCAACTATGAGGACCCTGAGGACCTTGTTAATTAAGTGATGAACACACACACACACACACACACACACACACACACACACACACACACAGCAGGATCCAAAGTACCTTCAGTATCAAATCAAGTCCTAATCAACTCTAGCATTATCAAAATTCAAGTGTCTCTCTTCCCACCAACACTGGGGGAAAAAATATTTGAAAGATGAGACATGGCTTCTATTGAGCCACAAAGACCCAACAGGCAAGTTGTTAAGTTGCTGCTTTTGCTGAAAGACCTCATGATGTGCAGAAGAGAGAACCCAGAGAGGGCAGTTCCTCCCACACCTCGTTCTCCTACACCAGAGGACTAACATGTAACTGACCCAGGGTCTGCTCCTTCCCCACACGCTTGCCTAAAGGAAAAAGCATCACTACATGATTTCTCTCAAGGAACACAAGCTAGGACTCAGGGAGCCAGTGCCACGAGGGCCCCTGACAAAGCACACAATGTGATTACCCACCTCAAAGGGTCTAACTGCTACTGCATTGTTCTAAGAAAAACCATCCCAGAGTTGCTCCCCACAAGGGAGGCCATCCCATGAGGAAGGTCGATTTAAAATATCACCCTCCTCTCCCCGAGACAATAAACAATAAGCAAATATTATTTGGTTCCGAATCGAAAGCGCTAAGTGCAGGTATAAATTATTTAACCTGCGATCAATGTCTCTGCATTTGCTCTTTGGTTCCATTGTTTTTCTGCAGCTAAACAAACAGTGTCCAGGCTATGGATGTGCGAGATGCAGAGAAAGG